CATCCAGCTTCTTTTTCCATTTCTTGGCGTCTTCCAGCATATCCTCACTCCAGGCTTTGCCTTTTTCTGTTCTTAATGCGAGAATTACAGCAGCACCGATAGCGGCTAAAACAAGATATTTGGTCTTCATAATTGTACCGTTTTAAGTTTACAATAAAGGACTGTTTAAAACCGTGCCATCATACGACGATCCTGGATAAGTTTCCATATCCTTTTCCGTCTCAAAATAATTTACATAAGAAATAGGCTGCCGGCAGACCTTGCCCACTGGTTGGCGATGTGTTTTTAGGTAAATTATAATAAACTAAGAACCCGTATAATATCAATAATTAATAATCAAAATATACTTATAAAACGAAAAAATATATTACGTAGTGCGTTCATTGTTTGAAAACTAGTGGTAATATTGTAATTGTTAACAGGATTGTTAAATTGATTGATTTAACTTTTTGATGCAACAAAAATGGTATCAGCTACTGCCAAAATGAATGAAGACCGTGAAAAAGAAAATATTATTGACTGGATCTACCGGCTTCATTGGTTTTAATATAGCCAGGCTACTGGTAAAGGAGGATTATCAATTACGGCTATTGGTTAGAAAAGAAACCCCGCTCAAAGGGTATGATAATGTCGAATATGTTTTTGGTGATATCCGTAATTATGAAGATGTATTAAATGCGGTAACAGGTTGTGATATTGTTATTCATACCGCGGGCCTGTTTACGTTCAGTCCGAAACTGAAAAATGAAATTTATGAGGTTAATGTTACCGGGGCACATAATATTTGCAGGGCTGCTTTAGCCTCTTCTGTAGAGAGAGTGATTTATACAAGTTCGGCAGCAACAATCGGGAAATCGGAAAACACATTATCTGACGAAAATACTGCCTTTAATTTGTGGAAGATCAGCAGCCATTACAAAAAATCAAAGGTGTTATCTGAGAATGTTGTTCTGAATTATTATATAGATTATTCTTTGCCTGTAATAATACTCAACCCTTCATTACCATTAGGATATTTTGATTTTAAACCGACATCTACAGGCGCAATGGTTGAATCATTTGTTAAAAGCAAAGGGACAGTATATATAAA